GCGAAAATTAAAAATCCACATGGACAAACTCACCACGTCATTTATTTAGTGGAAAAGAAGTCTGTAAGCTTGCCTTGTGTCTTTCGCGCGAGCGAAGGCAGCACGCAGCGCAACCTTAAAGGACGCCAAAGCGTTTCGAGCACTGTCGTCGTCCTGGGAGCCGGCGACCCGGCATAATACATCGATGGCATCCAAGACCTCCCTTGCGATAGGCACCAAAGGGTGCTCGCCTTTGGTGGCAATTGGACAAGAATATATCTGCATTTTAGGTACAGTTGCCGACCGATTATTCGGACTTTGCAGGGACCGAAAAAACGTCCGAATAATAGAGCTGTCCGAAAAATCAGCAGATTGAAAAACTTGCCTTTATTACTTCCAAGTGGGCTTAAAAAAGCTGTAAATAGGGCCTTCTTTCAGGTTACGCCTCTGTTTTCGTTCGGCAACTCTCTGTTTGCTTGAGAATCGCTGCCTTCTTTTGTAGCGTTATGGTCGAGTATTTTCTGCGCTTCTTAATGACACATCGCGGCGGCAAAAGAACAGATGGGACAATGACGTCCAAGCCAGCGTTGTGCGAACGAGATAAGAGGCGCGACACCACGAGCACAAAATGGCGACTGGCGACGTGAAGAAACGGGAGAAGCAAAATGATAATAACGATGATGATGATGACATGCAGCTAAATGGAAAAAAAAAGGGCTAGCATAGCGTCACCTAGCGGTAGGACTCGGGAGTACTCAAGTAGCGCCAGTAGCGCTACCAAACCAAGCCAGTCCATTTGCAGCCAACATAGTATTCAAAATGGCTGCTTCTCGATGGTTTTTTTTGCTGATCGCTCGCAGCGATTTTGTCCGAATAATCAAACTTTCTGACTTCAAGTTGTCCGAACCATTTGTCGTGAATATACTCTATTTCTATGGGGTAAGTCACGGTTCCGCCTTTAGGTCCAAAATGTCGAACAAATCCAAATTATTGGAGTCAAAAAAAACAACAAAAAAAACATGGAGATTGCGGCGGAGCGAGTTTGTTAAATCAAGGTTATCCAGTGCGAGCACTTCGTTACATGGAGTTCACGAATACAAGCGCTTTTATGAAGATTGTGTCGGGGAATTGAAAAAGTTAGTTAAATAGAGGATTTCGTTGTATACAGGTTCGTTACATCCAGGTTTAACTGTACTACTTTAGCGGCTTGAAGCTGAGCTAGTTCGTTCATGCTTGTTAAAGTGCCAGCTGAACGTTTTAAGGACACACACACAGAGACAAACAAAAAAGGCAGACACACAACTACTTTAGTGTCTTTGCACTTGACGCCGGCCAAACAACTGTACTCGACGAGCTGAAAGCAATCAAAAACAAACTTACACTCACTGACCAGACGGTCAACGCTCTGTCTGACAGAATGACGCGGATAGAGCAGGAGTTTTCGCATTTTAATTCCATTCGAAATGATCTTGACGAACTCCGCGGTGTCACGGCGACCCTTACTGACAGTTTAGCGACTCTGGCTGAACGCGTAGATGACTCGGAAAATAGATCGCGGCGCTCGAATCTTCTTTTTTTTGGCCTCCCTGACTCTGATAGGGAAACGTGGGCACAGTCGGAACAGAAAATAATAAACCTTTGTTCTCAACATCTTGATATCAACATCATGCCAGACGGCATCGAGCGTGCCCACCGACTAGGTCGATATCGTCCCAATCAGAACCGCCCGATAATTGTAAAATTTGCTCTTCATAAAACCAAAGAACGAATTTTTTCTCAGGGTAAAAAGTTCAAGGACACTAGCTTCGCTGTAAGTGAAGATTTCTCTCCTTCGGTTCAGCGTGCTAGAAGGAATTTGTTAACTTTCGCGCGTAACCAAGCTATGCCCTTTTCCTTACGTTTCAAAACGCTCCTCATTGGACAAAAACGATACTATTTTGATGACGCATCAAACACCGTAAAAGAGTGTCCTTCTTAACTAACCCGATCTTTTCGCCGCGGTCATGAACCCACTCCCCCAAAGCCACTGTCCTTTATTTACACAAATATAAGAAGCGTGATATCTAAACAAGACGAGATATGTAGCCTAATTGCATCTACCGATTGTGACATTATTGCGCTTACTGAAACATGGCTGTCATCATCGGTAACTGATACAGAAATTTTTACGGGCACTTCTGGGTTCAATATATTCCGCAAAGATAGGGAAAGTGGCCGGGGAGGGGGGGTCTTGATTGCGATAAAAGATAGTTTTGTGTGCAACCTAGTAAGCTTGTCTTCACCGTTGGAAATGCTATGGCTTTCTTGCACGGTTCAACACGCTTCGCTCCTTATCGGTGTATGTTACCGACCCCCTCACAGCGATCCATCTTTTCTAATTAACCTCAATGACGCTTTCAATGAATTGTACCTTAAATATCCCAAATCCAGTATTCTGCTTTTCGGTGACTTTAACTACCCCTCTATTGATTGGCCCGCCTTATCCGTTTCGGTCCCTCTTGATACGAGTGAAGCGACTGGTTTCGTTAACCTTTGCTTCAATTTCGATCTCTCGCAGCTTGTAACTAAACCCACACGATCAACCACCCACTCTTCGAACATCCTTGACCTCATCCTTGTTTCTGATCCTGACTCTCTAAAGTCGATAAACTACCTACACGAAATAAGTGACCATAAAGTGATTTACTGCACATTTTCTTTAAATATTCAGTCAAAATCGAAGCGGAAGAAAACCGTAAAACTATACGAGAAAGGGAATTATCAAGGAATGAATACTGAGCTAGGGAAATTCTTAGATGTCCTTTTAATAGACTTTGACAATCGGTCCGTCTGTGAAAATTGGACTATGTACAAATCTAAAATGCAACAACTAGCCGAAAGCTTTATCCCAACTGTGACATTTTTCGAAAGCGCTTCTGCTCCATGGTTTAATGTTACCCTGAAACGTTTAAGCACGAAAAAAAAGAGACTCTTTCGTAAAGCCAAAACCACGGAGCGCAGCTCGGACTGGGATAAGTTCTATAGTTCCGACAGACAATTCAGAAGCGCAATCAGAACACAAAAACGAGCGTTTTTTAATGTTGATCTCCCATGCATGCTGCAGAGCAACCCAAAAAAGTTTTGGAATGTCGTTAATCCTAAACCTGAAATAGTAATCAATCTTAAAAACGACGATGACTCTTTGGTTCCTGATGACGAATGTGCAGAAAAATTCAATGATGTTTTTTGTTCAGTGTTCACACAAGAGTGCAATGATATGTTTTCTATGGTTCCTCCTGCCTTTCCTACATCCATGGATGGGATCACGTTTGAACCGGCTGGCATTGTGAAAATCATCGACACCCTTAAGATTTCTTCATCAGCCGGTATTGACGAAATAAATGTAAAAGTGTTGAAAAATACTAAAGATATATCTAGCGTAATATTGGCAAAGCTTTTTGCACAGTCACTTTCTACTGGTTCCTTGCCATACGACTGGAAAGTTGGGAAGATCGTCCCAATCTACAAAAACGGAAACAAGTGCTCCCCTTCTAACTACCGTCCCATCTCCCTAACAAGCGTGTCGTGTAAAATAATGGAACATATCATCTACTCCAAAATCATTCATCACTTGTTAGAAAACAACTATATCCATTCCGCCCAACACGGCTTCCGAAAAAACTTCTCCTGTGAAACTCAACTCGCGTCTTTCGTCCATGACCTGCATGTTAACCTCGACTCTAACATTCAAACTGACGCCATCTTTCTAGACTTTGCTAAAGCTTTTGATAAGGTCCCTCACAGACGTCTCATATACAAGCTTAATCAACTTAACTTAGACCCCGCGATTTTGAACTGGATCATTAGCTTTCTTACGCATAGACATCAATTCGTTACCGTTAACCAGTCATCATCCTCTATTGCCGAAGTCACCTCAGGCGTTCCTCAGGGATCGGTCCTTGGACCACTCCTATTTCTAATATACATTAACGACCTACCCGTATCAATCACGTCGCATATTCGCCTCTTCGCTGACGATTGCGTCATCTACCACCAAGTAACTAACCCTTCGGACCACCAACTCATTCAAGATGACCTCATACGAATTCAAGCGTGGTGCGAAGAATGGCAGATGTCTCTTAACGTCCAGAAATGCCAGCTCGTGTCATTTACACGTCGTGTAAGCCCCTCCGTGTTTTCCTACTCACTTAATAACGTACCTCTGCAGAAAAGCCTTTCCTATAAGTATCTCGGAGTCCACCTCTCATCTGATCTTTCCTGGGCTACTCATATCAGTCACGTTATCTCCACTGCTAATCGCTCACTAGGCTTCTTAAAACGTAACCTTAAGCTAGCCCCTCCTCACCTAAAGCTGCTTGCCTACTCATCCCTTGTCCGTCCTAAATTGGAGTACGCATCTGCCATCTGGGACCCGCATCAGGCCTATCTCATCAATAACCTCGAATCACTCCAGAATCGTGCAGTACGTTTTATCTACTCAGATTATTCTTCCTTTTCTAGCGTAACTAATCTTAAAATCTGTGCAAACCTCCCTGTCCTTTCTGTCCGTCGTAAACTTGCTAGGCTATCTCTTTTTCACAAATTTTACTACAGTCAGTGCCTCCGGTCATCATACATCATATCTTCAGAATATCGGCTTCGTCGTACGGGACATAACCCCGGCGTAAGACGCCCCAAAGCAAGAACCGTCACCTTCCAGAATTCATTTTTTTCACGCACTGCCATTGATTGGAACGATCTTCCCGAGAACGTCATCATCACTCATGACCCGATAGAATTTAAGAAACGCTTGCTAGACTCCCCACTTTAGGTTTGTACGAACCATCTATATGTGTACAGTTTGCCTTTCACATTTGTGTGTTTTTGCTCTTTGTGCGCGAGTTGTTTTTGGCGTGTTTTCTACCCTTTTGTTTTACGCTCTGTACCCACCCCTTATGTAATACCCCCAAGGGGGTCCTTAAGGTATCTAAATAAATAAATAAATAAATCAGGAAAAATGAAGTGGCATCTGTTACACACAGCTGCCCAAGCTGCTGCCATCAAGTCTGTGGAGTCTGGGTGGAAGTGCAAGACATGTGACTCCACCCTGCACAGCTGTGAGGAGGCCCTGGCTCACCGGTGTGCAACCTTTGAGTGCCCCCACTGCACCTTCGTCACGCACAAGCCCAACGGCCTGTCCATCCACCTCAGCTACGCCCATTCCTTCAAGTGAGTTGCCTTGCTGCCCTTGACCGCACAATGAGAAGATTGGCGACTTTTTAGTCTGCTTTCCTTCTTACGTCGCTGTGCCTTTCCTAAACGCTCGAGCAAATGTTGTTTATTCATGTATGCCAAACCAACCAATTCAAGGGTGTGGTTCATTGGGGGTCCGTGTTAATTTTTACAGCGGAGCTGTTAGGGGCTAGTTTTCCCAGTTTCGTGTTCGTCACTAAATAAATGTCAACACAAAACTCTGGACAGCTACCGCCATCTATGAGCGACGGCAGCAAGCAGACAACTGGCATGCCGGTTGTCTGGTTGCCGCTGTTGCTGATAGATGGCGGCAACCGTCCCAGCCTTTCACTCTGGTTTTCACCAGAGTGGAAAGGCTGAATTTCTCTAGGCATTGTCCTAGATGTCGTCCTTGAGGTCGTCCTAGACGTCGTCCTAAAGGTCGTCCTAGAAGTCATCCTTGAAGTCCTAGACGTCGTCCTCGAGGTCGTCCTTGACGTTGTCCTCGAGGTCGTCCTAGAAGTCGTCCTCGAGGTCGTCCTAGACGTTGTCCTCGAGGTTGTCCATGAAGTCCTCCTTGAGGTCGTCGTAAACTTCGTCCTTGAGGTCATCCTTTTTTTAATGTTGCATCTGGCAAAAAGGATTTATTCCAGTGAGGCTCTAGTACAGGGGACGTGAGGGCGACAGCGTCGAGCTTTTACTGGGTACTTTGTAGGCCGGCAACATCAGACTAAAGGATCTGCCAGTACTTATGACCTCCTACCTCAGCCTATGTCCGAGGCGTCGAGGTTCCGTTATGGCCCATATATTAATTTCCTCTTTGCTGCGCTTGCCTTCTCGACAGTTACCGCTATCCAAAGCGACCAGTGCTACGCGTTGGGGGTCGTGGCTGCCTGTACCAGGTATATCCTGGTTGACTCTCTCCAGTACTTGGCTGGCACTACACCAGGGCTATATCGCTGTTGACGCTGTGAGCGCCTCTGGCAGGGGCCTTCGTTGTCCTGGTCTATGGAACGTCATAGCATGGGGCTGCAAGTCTAGTAAAACATATAAAATAGCGCAACAGAAACAAGGACAAGAAGTAAACAGGACAAGCGCTTTTTTACTTCTTGTCCTTGTTTCTGTTGCGCTATTTTATATGTTTTACTAAGATGAACCAACTAGCCCAACAACGTACCTTACTAAGCTGCAAGTCTAGTGCTTCACTCAGCGTCTTTTGTGAGGTTTCTGCAAAACACCACAACACAGCGACTCCACATGGCATGTTTTACAGCAATAGCTGTTATGGACCCTTCCCACCACTAGAAATGATGTCCATTGTCATTGTACTTGTAGTTGTCGTAGTAGGGCATAGGGCAACTGTTGTCAATATCGCCAACTGCTTGAAAGGAGAAAGGATTGTTTGCCACTGCGGTCCTCTCAGGATTCGATCCTAGGCCATAAAATTTATATGCGTATGCCTGCGGCCAGTGTGCTTGGGTATATCCAAACAAGGTGTGAGTTTACAGTCGGTCAACCAGAACCTTGGTTTTTTAGGGGCGAAGCTCCTTAGGGTCTAGACTTGTCCGTCCGGGGTCCGTGCTCGCATCGATCTTGCTGGTGCTCGTGCTCGTGAGCTTACGTGCTCATGTGCTCGTGTAAAGCAAAAAAAAGAAAATGTGATGAAAAAAAAAAATGTTTGCACAGTCGACAGGATTCAAACTTGTGCGGGGAGACCCCAATGGATTTCTAGTCGATCGCCTTAACCACTTGGCCACGACTGCGGGACGAGTAGGGGGCTCTGAGATGTGGTAGTAACTCGAGAGCTGGGGATGGTCATGGATGAAACGTTGCATGTAGTTGCTCAACATCTACACAGGAGAGGGCGCTGCGGTCAAATGCGTATATAATCGCGTTAAACTTTGCATGCACTGGCTCAGCGTTTATAGACGAGAGGGCGCTGCGGTCAAATGCTCAAATGCGTATATAACCACGTTCCATACCACACATTCTCTTTCTGACATGAATGAAAACGAACGAAAGGCTCGGCATGCTGTGGCTCAGCATCTACGCAGACAAGCACCACCAGAGCTTCGCCCCAATCAAGATCATTCACCACGTGGAGATGCGGTCAATTTTTGATTGAACACAGTGTGCCATTCACTTCAACTGATCACGCCGGAGACCTCCTTTGGAAAATGTTCCCGGGCCCAAAAGAAGCTCCTACCTACGCTTCTGCTCGAACCAAGACAGCTGCAATAGTGAAGGAAATGGCTGAAAAAGAGATTGGCGATGTTGATAGTAGTTCAAGGAGCATGCCGTTCTCGGTTGCGACTGACGGGAGCAATGACGTTGGCAACGATGCCAAGCTTTATCCCAGCGTAGTCACGTTTTGTGACAGGACGATTTGCACTGCCCTTTTTGCAATTAGGGTGGCCACTTTCCTGCTAGCGAAATGTGGGACACGCGGGGCAAGGGGGAGGGGGGGGGAGAGAGGGGGGGGGGAGGGAAGGTAGGTAGAGGAAATTTATTAGTAGGCACACAGGGAACCGAGGCTCTGTTAACACATTTATTATCCTGTACTGTTTATGCACCTGCTAATTTAATTGCAGCAATTATGCTCAAATAATTTCCACTCACACTGATATATTTTTCAATACCAAACATGTTATTAAATGTGTCGAAGTTTGAAAACATAAAAATCGACTTTATCAGAACTTAATGCATCAAATGGAAATAAGAAACAGTAAATCTTTTTTGAATTATTGTTTTCAGTCAACGCTTAGTTTTATCAAAATGATCCTACACAAATTTTTAACATGTTCTTTTTCGATTTTTGTGAATGTAACTATCTTCACTAAAAAAAAAAAAAAAAAAACCTGAGCAACACTTTTGCATTGATAGAGCAATTTGAAAATAATTACAATATTTTATATTTAAACTTTTGGAGAGCAATTGTTTTTACAATATTTTGCCACGAAAGGGAGAGCCACAACGCAATGCTTGGATAGAAAATAGCGTACCATTTCGATTCACACGATTGCCAGCGATTTCCGTGCTTACCCGTGCCCGTTGTTCGGCACACTATGAGTTGCGGAGTGAATTTTACGACGGTGTGATATGCCGGACATTTTGAAGATTTGGGAATTTCTCGCGGGACGCGGGACACGAGCCCTCAATACGGGACAGTCCCGCGAGTTGCGGGACGGTTGGTCACCCTACTCGCGATGCCTGCTCTCTAAGTCGACTCCACGGTACGAAACATTGGTGCGCTTGTTGTGGAGATGTTAACGATCAAGAACATTCCTATTTGGAACTGTATTGGCATGGCGTGCGATAATGCACCAGTCATGATGGGATCCGAGAAGGGTGCTGCTGCTGTCTTCGAGGAGAATCACGAGAACATTGCCGTCATTGGATGTTGCATGTTGCTGCCTGTTAATCAATCTGGCGGCACAGAAAGGCTCAGCATGCCTCCCAGTAAGTGTGGATAAGGCACTAGTTGATGTTTACTATTACCTCGAAAAGAGTTCTAAAAAGAAGGACAAGCTGAAATCTTTCCAGTCTCTCCATGATGTAGAGTCCAAGAAAATTTTGAAGCTTGTCGGTACTAGGTGGCTGTCATTGGCAAAAGCTTAAAGACGGCTTGTGGAGCCGTCGCAGCCACTGCTTAGCTTCTTCCATAGAGAGGTAAGGTCATCTAGCCAGGTCTTGAAGCTACCAATCAAACTAAAGGAGAGGGTGCTCATCAAGTTAAGAGACCGAGAATGGACAGTTGTGTTCCTGCAACGAATATAGCTCCTTCTCTGGAAATCAAAAAGCGTCAAGATGGCAAGGTCTTGAACAGGGCAGAAAGACTGTTTATGTTTTTCTTGTCGGATGTCAAGAGTGTGTATTGTGACTTCTTGCTGACGGTCATTCCAGAGATTGAAATGGTGAACGTGCCTCTGCAGTCTGGGGCCCCCCCAATTACATCTGCTCTGGGAGATCCTTCACAGCTTACTTAGGGACCTGATGTTGCACTTTGTCAAACCGTCAGTGATGAAAGGGACGGATGTGCTGACAGACGTTGACTACAAGTCTTCTGACAACCAAAGAGATGATGAAGACATGGTACTTGGCAGCCAGACAGCGCAGAACTTGCAAACATTGAAGAAGAAAGCCAGGCAAGAGATTTTTGCACGAATCAGAAGATTCTTTGTAATGGCAAGTGCTTACATCATCCTGAAATTTCCTCTGAAGTCTGAGATTTTGAGAAGTATGGACGTGGCCAGACTTTCCACCATTAAACAAGCCAGGTTAGCTGATGTCAAGTACTTCATCGGCCACCTCCCAGTTCAGTTTCTTGACAGTTGCAGAAGAGCAAAATATGAAGTTTGCCTTGGATGATGTTCAGGCTCAGTTCAGCCACTTACAGGTGGAAAGATCATCCTGCTGAAATAACTATGCAGAAGCGGATTGATGAGCAGTGGGTTGTAGTCTCTGATCTTCGAGACATGGATGGCACTTTTAAGTATGTTAAGCATTCAAAAGTGATGTTTGGAATCCTGACAGTCCCGGATAGCAATGCAGAGTGCGAAAGAGTCTTCAGCAAAGTGAAGAAGGCACACATGCAGTTCCGCTCCTCCATGTCAAAAAAGACTCTTGAACAGTTGTTAGTCGTGAGATGCAGCCAGTCCGGGAAATGCCATGAACAAGTGTTCGACAAGGACTTCCTGAGAAAAGCAAAAGCTGCAACTTCCTCAGTGTTGTATGATGTGTTTTTGCCCTAGTTGAGGCGTTTTTCTTTGCCTAAACCAAGTTTTGAAGAATAAAACAGTTTTCATTCACACAATTGTAGTGTTTTTTGGCATCCCCTATAGTATTTTCAGCATTGTAGGGTTGGCAGGTCTGCCTTTAGGAAGCAAGAAGCAGTTCTGGTATTTTAAGGACCATTTTACAGCGGAGCTGTTGAGGGCTAGGTTCCCCAGGATCATGTCCGGTATGTCGACACAAACCTACCTGGACAACTACCGCCATCTATAAGCGACGGCGGCATGCACACAACCAGTCTGGTTACCGCCGTCACTCATAGATGGCAGCAACTTTTCCAGCTATCATGGAAGAATGGATAGTTGGGCACGTCGGTGAAAATTCATTGTAGAAACAGTGCGAAAAACAGACGACAATGAAGAAGAAGCACACGTAACAAGCGCAGCACTCGTCACGTGTGTTTCTTCCTCTTCATCTGTTTTGCGCGCTGTTTCCTACGCTCTTATCAGTTTCGGCTTGGACTCAAAATGGGTTGGCCGCACGCCCTTTCGGAGAAAGGAGACTGGCTGCGGAAGAAGCGGCGACGTGTGCAGCAGCGCGAATGGGTCCGCAACCGCCGCAAAGCCGCTGTCGCCTGGACTGCCACAGCGTCCAGCGCTTCAGATTCCCTTGCCAAAAAAGAGCATATCGCTCGCCTGGAAAGCTGCCGCCGAGAACAGTACCAACGATGTAAAGGGCGCCGGCGGGCCAACGCCACGGACGATGATCGTGCCACGGAGGCAAAGCGCAAGTGTGAGGCCCGGCGACGACAGCACTCCACGCCGGCTGAACAGTTCCCGGGTGGACAGCGAGGTTCTGGAGGGAGTTTGTGGAGAACCCGTTTGTCATGTGTGCCGTGTGCGACCGACTGTGGTTCGTCGGAGACATATCCACGATCGGCGGCGTGTCAGACGAGAAAAAGCGGGAAACGGGCGCATGCGCGCTGCGGCAGTGTATTGAGTACAGCTCCGCTGGTCTTCCTTCTTCACGAGAGTGGAAGGGCTGAACGTTTTTGCAGTGGAGCTGTTAAGGGCTAGGTTCCCCAGGATCGTGTCCGGTATGTCGACACAAACCTACCTGGACAGCTACCGCCATCTATAAGCGACGGCAGCAAGCACACAACCAGTATGGTTTCCGCCGTCGCTCGTAGATGGCGGCAACCTTTCCAGCTATCATAGAAGAATTGATGTACTCTGTTTCACCGTATGTTGTACCGCAGCGAAGGCTAGAAGCGCGAGCTCATAGCGTTAGCAGCTGCCCTTATAGTGCACGAGAGCTTATGCTACCGAGATGTGCCCTAGAGCGAGGAGCTCGCGCTTGTAGCCTTTCCTGCGATACAACACAAGGGGAAACAGAGTACAGTAATGTGCGTTGGTGGGAAATCATTGTAGGAAACAGCGTGAAAAACAGACGACGACAAAGAAGCACACGTAACGAACGCAGCGCTTGTCACGTTTGTTTCTTTGTCCTCGTCTATTTTGCGTGCTGTTTCCTACGCTCTGCTCTTGTCAGTTTCGGTTTGGACTCGCGATAGGTCGGCCCCATGCCCTTTCGTGGAAAGGAGACAGGCTGCGGAAGGAGTAGCGACGTACGCAGCCGCGCGAATGGGTCCGCAACTGCCGCAAAGCCGCAGTTGCCTCGACTTCCACTGCGTCCAGCGCTTCAGATTGCCTTGCCAAAGAGCACATCGCTCGCCTGGAAAGCCGCCGCCGGGAACAGAACCAGCGATGTAAAGGGCGCCGGTGAGCCAATGCCACGGACGACAATCGTGCCATGGAGGCCAAGCACAAGCGTGAGGCTCGGTGACGACTGCACTCCACGCCGGCTGAACAGTTCCCGGGTGCGACGGCGAGGTTCTGGAGGGAGTTCGTGGAGGACGCGTTTGGCGTCACGTGCGCCGTGTGCGACCGACTCTGGTTCGCCGGAGACGTATCCACGATCGGCGGCGTGTCGGAAAAGAAGAAGCGGGAGAACCAAACGCGTGCGCGTTGTGGCAGTGTATCGAGTACAGCTCTGCTGGTCTTCCCTCTTTACGAGAGTGGAAAGGCTAAACGTTTTTTTATTCCGTTTTAATGTGTCCCTTTGACAGCGGTCACCATTGTGTGCTTGGCGGCGATCTTTTTTTGTTTGTCCCCGTTACAGGTGCAAGAACTGCAGTAACACCTTTGCCACGAAGGAGTTGCAGTCCCTGCATGGCACATACCTGTGCGTGAACCGGCCTTTCAAGCACATTGGCGAGGAAGACATTCCCCTGGCAGTGCTCAGGCGCCACCCCCTGCTGCAGTCCACCGCCAAGAAGAGAGGACGGCTGCCGAAAGCTGCCCCTCAGGTCGGGCCCTATTCTGTCCGGATGAAGGGAAAACGAGTGCCGCAAGAGTGGGACAAAACCACTCTCAAATGTCCAATTATCTGAAAGTTTCCAGCATCCACTTTCCTCTTTTATGTGAAAAAAAAAAATGGGCAGGCACCCTCTCAAATGTTTGCACCCTATCTTTCTACGTAATGCGAGCACCATGTAAGAAGATGCCTACCTGTGGTCAGTAGCATTAAAGGGAAGCTGAAGCACCTCTCAAGCAATCTGAGTTAGGAACGGACTTCTATAGCGTTTTATCCCGTAAATTCAGTTGTCGTACTTCTCTTCAGCGGAAGTAATCTAAACAGCATTTATTTCGAGAAATATGTGCAGCGATTGCTGTTGGGCACACGGTGATCCTCTCTGTCTCCCGTTATCTGTCCAGAGCGTCGCGACGTCATTGGCCGCATCCCCGAGGCAGCGTGGTGGCGAGCAAGGGTCGTCTGACCTCACTGATGACGTCACTTTTGCTAGTCTTTTTCTCCGCTTTCGCACTTTCTTACTGCCGTTGCGCTGCGACGGGCGGGTCTACATCCAAGTTTTAATTGGCTATTACGACGCTCCTACTAATGAGATCAAAATAAAACTTAAGACATCATTTTTCAAGTGTCTACATTAGAACCTTTACTGTTTGTTCGAAATCAGTGACCTCTTCAGCTTCCCCTTTAAAAGAATTTGCTTACGATAGGTGTGGCGCAACAGAGCAGTTTCTCCTCTGGCTTACACTGAGAGAGGAGATCAAGCGCAAAGGGGGAGTGAACATTTTCTTTGGAATCGTGAGTCATTTTTGCATGTGCTGGGTTGTTGTAAAGGGTCTAAATTGACTTTTATTTAACTGTGTTCAAGGTACTGTTCAGCACAGTGAGAGAAGCAAGTGGTCCTTCCTATGTAGATATACGGGGGATCCCCCCAAATATATAGCGTTTTTAATCGCAAAAATGAAGCGCATTGTTGAGTGCTCGCTTTTTGTCCAAATGTAGCACTACTAGTGGCCCAAACTAGATGCCAAAGTTTCAGAATTAACCGTTATCTTCTTCAAAGGTTTTGTGCGATTTTCTGAAATTTTCTGTGGTAAAATAATGGCCAACAAAAATGAGAACGAGCCCCGTTATCCATTGAAATTTCCAGAAAATTCCTTGCACCTTTTGGAAAAGACAAGGATTGAAGGGTTAGTTCTGAAACTTCGGCATCTGGTCTGGACGGCTAGTGCTGCATTTGGGCAAAGACTGAACATTCAACAATGCATGCATATTAAAAAAAAAAGAAAAAAAAAATTTATTAAAAAGTTTGTTGCATGCAAGGTTTTTTTTTTTTTTTTTTTTTACTTTTTTTATTTTTAGAGTGTGGGTTGTTGTGGTCTGTGGTCTGTGCCAGTTCACATACCGAAGACAAGACTGGAGCATCTTCTCTCTGGTGCCTGTGGGAGGCGGGAGCAAGAGACGGTTCAGTTGGGTGACCGAAGGGATGGCCTTGCAGGGGACGCAGAAGGTGTCGCGGAGGGTGTCCGAAGCAAGCCAGGCGGAGCCCAAACGCACCACCAGGAAGAGGGGCCGTCCCCGGGGAAGACGGAAACGGACGGCCTAGAGGTGGGGAACCGGGGGTCTTTGCGGACCCTCGAGTGCCAAAGAACCAAACCAAATTTCTTGTTCACATTTGAACGGCGTAAAGTCGGTCTGCCTTCGAGGTGTGGCGACACTGGTTTATGCCGTAGACGGAAGGTTTAGCCAGGGCAGTTCCACCTCTAGCCTGGCGTCTTTGAAGGGAAACTGAAGCAGTTCTGTATTTGAGGAAAAACTCCTACATCGTCATTTGGCCTCCAGGATCACGAATATCGAGATTATTTTTTAATTTGGTGCACAGAGGCTGCAGAAATTATTTTCAAAGTGCCAATGAAGCCACACGAAAGGGTGACTCACAGAGAAAGTAAGAACACAGTGTCACCGCCTTTATTTTAACGGTGTACACACTTGTACTTTGTGCTGACGAGGCCTCAAAACCGAAACTCGCGTGTCGTGACTGCGCCTGCTACTACCCAACCTCGTTGTCACACCGCTTCTGCAAAAAGTCGCCGTAAAATTGACAGTAAAGACACAAAAATTACATTGATACAATTATCTTGTAAAATATCACCTCATTTAGTAATAGCTGTGTCAACATGCATTATACGTTGCATTTAAGCTTGAGAGAGAAACCCAAAAACTTTTTCTGCCAGACTAAAACGAAATATCCACTTTTAGGTCTGTCAACAATGTATTTTTGCCAAACCTTTAGAAAAGTTTGGCAAAACTTTGGCCCATCACTAGCATTCTACCTACTAATTATTCTGACCAGGGCTCGGTGCTTTGAAGTCCCCGCACGCTCTCATCTCCTCCTCCTCCTCAGCTTCTGTCCGTATTCACCATTTCAATGTTTACAATGTGACGGCCCAACGTGGGATCTTCACAGGCCCAACACGTGCACGTCCGATGTTTCGGAAAGCGAGTAAAGCATGTGCCACAAGCACGAATGCCGAAAATGGCATAGGCTGCCATTGGCAAAGGCCGCCAATGGCACAGGCTGCAAGCCCGTTTCTTGAATGGTGCCTTGGAGGTGATGGGGCTGTAGCATTACCACCTCTCCCTTCCCTTCCCCCCCCCCCCTCCCCACTTCTAACGTTAATACTAGTGGATCTATGCAGCGCCGTCTGCTGCTTTGCAGCAAGTGTTGTCGAGCTTCAGCGTATCTGGCACATGGGGCGGGCCGGGAATCTACCAACGACGACATCATGCCCGGACCTTGTCGTATAAATAGTCGACTGTAGTCGACACCCTGTTGTGCCAACGCACGTGCACGACCATCCTAGCAGACAAACTTGCACACCGTATGACTAGACGTCAAAACGTTTGCAGCTGGTCTGAAGAACGAGTCTTTCAGGTACGGCGCGCTAAGGAGGCTCGTCACAAACGGAGTATGGATCAGGCATGAGAATGACGGAACCGAGAGCGGAAGCATAAATGCCGTGGAGATCCTCAGAATCGTGCTCGGAAGGCGGCGCAGAATTGATGACAACATTGCAATGATAGCGAATTACGCGAGCACGAAGTTGCTGTCGCTGCGACGCACATTGCACAATGGCGTAGATGCAATCGGATTTTTGCGAATGTTGTTTGGTGCTATCTATCAGTAAATGGGGAAGCATTCAAATGGCTTCCTACAAAACTTTAGCCAGTTATTACGCTTGTATTGTTGTTGCAGGCGAAAAGTGAACGTGATTGCAATCCAGCAATTAAAATGCTGGGCTGCTCCCGGCCCCACGCTGTTACCGACTTTCGATGCCGTCCTGAAGCGCTACTGAAAATGGCGTACAGCCACGTCTGCTACCACTACTCACGTGCATGGGCGACCCGAAAGGCAAACGAATAGACCGATCTCACCAAGCGTTCAGAGCATGCTTTAAGCCACCATAACTTTAGTTCGCAGGAGGCAGGTGGTAGTGCCTGAGAAGTCTCGCACCCGCAAGCGCAGAGCTCCAGCGTGGGGGTGGCACGTGCAGAAAGACTAAACTTCCCTCGATGCATTGCGGCAACGGTAGCGTACTCAAACCGGCTGGTGAGATCAATCTATTGTGGATGGGACATTTGAAGAAACATATACACTTATATGTCAGGAGTTTGCTAGTCAAGTTTTTTTGTTCATTTTCCTAACAAATAACACTTCACGCTTTTAGCACTTATTGTTTTTAGAGTTGTTGAAACTCCATTTAGTGGAATGCAATGGAAATTTGCATTTTGGTAGTAGTGTGTAAAGAAAAACATAAAAAAATAAAAATAAAGCTTCGTATATAACTTGCAGCAATTGTATCTTCCTAATACTGTTGACATGATTCTAGTAGTTTTCATGAGATACTCTTACTGATGAAGGAAAAATATCCTGAAGAAGATCAAAGATGTCTCAGCCCGGGGTTACAGTTGCCTCTTTTCTGACAGAAGTTACTTCACTCTAAAGAGTATAGGTAAGCGGGCACCAAACTTCTGTCATCCTATCATTGGCTATCATTCTTGTGGGCTTCATGGGCCATGAGGAGGTGATCAAATGGCCATGTTTTCGTTACCTTTTGTGCAAAGCAGTATGAATGAAAACGAGATATTACACCACATCAGCTCTGATGCTAGCCAGACGGGTTGCAGTAGAACCCCGTTAATACCTTTTTCAAGGGGCCGCAAAGAAAAAAGAGTATGATCTGGGGAAACGTAACAACTAAAACGCTTTTGGGGGCCCATAGGTGAAACGGGAAGCACTTTCACATAATTTATTTCACGTGGGCTGTTTTTTGAAAAAACATATCCACCTATGTGTCGGGATGTTAGGTTAGGTTAGAGCAGAATTTCTAGACTCCCCCACGCCTCCTAGCACATTAATGCGGATGGGTGAAGCTGGACATGCATGCCGGTGCAAACCATGAAGTTCGACGCCTGCACGTCACGAGTGATGCACATTTAGAAACTCTGAACTTGACACAAACTACCGTACTACGATAAAATACCGCACATCTGCCCATTCCATACTAAGCGCCCATTCCCAAATTTGGAAGATCTGAGAAGATATGCACAGTACATTTATAAGTAAAATTCATGGCCGGACAAGTGCCCATCCCCCATTTTTTCATGATTAGTATCTCAATATTTTGAGTGGGCGCTTTCCCAGTATTTTCTGGTAGATTAACTAGGCAAACATAGCACAACAGAAGCGCATGCATGTATGCAGGAGGAAAAACCTAAAGATAACGGGCTACTGCAAAAGCCGGAATCCCTTTCCAGCACAGGAAAGGAGCACAGCACGGAGGCAAAGAAGGGGGATGCAGAGCAAAAGGAAGAGGGCGACCGGGCAGCCCAACATGTTGCGTCGGGTGGCAGTTTTTGGACACAAAAACCAGAAAGGCATACATACTTTAGAATAGCTGAATGTCAACAGTGAAACAGAGTGCAGCTGCAAGAAGAATGTGACCAACACGGCATGCATACTTAGAAAAAGAGTAGCTGAATGGATGCTGCAATGACTGTACCCTTTGTGTAATTGAGAATCTTCATCTAGGAACGAATAGTATAGTCACAATAATGCCATTACCGCTCTCTTTGCCATCATGCTAATGAGCCCACTGGCAGTCTAAGCGCGTCAAATAAACAAAGACACTTCTGCCTGTATCTCTGCACTAGGTTGCAGCAAGACTGTGACACAGTCCTCGTGACCCATACCATAGGTTTCAGATCCCAGTATTAGATTAACATCAACACTTCTATATTTACAGGTTCCGGCATACGCAGCAGAGGGGATGCGACGTGCCTCCATGCCTGTTCCTATCTGCAAGAGGGTCCTACAGGGTCATTGGTGCAGTTGAATACAAAACAAAATTGTGATAAGGAAACAAGTTTCTCCATGGACCACCGATATCTTGGCAACCTAGTTGTTACACCAGACAGAATCTTCATCCCTCTTTGTTCATGTGCTGGTTCATGTGACAACAAAGTTTGGTGACGTACAATGTTACGAGAATGCTGCATATGGCGATCATCCAGCCTTGAGGGGAGCTCCGGCGGTTTCTCGAGCTAAGCAAACTAGACACATTTCAGGGGTACCTAGGCTTTACTCTTCCCGGCGTGCTATTTTATTACTTTTAAATTCAAAATGGCTATTCAGAAAGAAATATGCATGGGCAAATACTAGTGGATTTTGAGTTCAAAGCAAATTCAAAGCGAATAATGGTTTTGGCCGAATATTTTCTAATAGCTTCTCCAATCCTTTCACTCCTTCCACTTGTCCATTTCAAAGCTGTTACTTTTATTCTAGCTATATTTATGGACCGTGGCCTGAGAATGTCTAATGCCTATATTGGGATGGCAGTTAAACGACGCATTTGACGTAAAGTTAAACCTACAGAGATGCGCAACTGTACCTACCGTAAAATACCGTAAGGACGCCCTCACCCGAGAGATCACCCATCCTGTTTTTCTGGCCCGATTCCCACCAGACATCACGCAGCGGACGACGGGAATTGCGTCAACCGCGTGATCTGCAGTACCGGTACACGTGGCAATAGAGTTTGCGGCAGGTTCACGTGTTTTTGTCCGTGATATCGGTTCCCGCGACATGTATGCTGTCCATGCGTGTTTATTGCACCATGAAACGCAAGTCTGCTGCATCTGTGATCTACAATATCTTTTACAGGGAAACGGGACTTCGTAGCTAATTCCCGGTTGTTTATCGAATCGTGAAACGCGAATTTGCCGTGTCCGCTTTTTGGAGGTATCAGTTCCCGTTTTAGTGGTTTGTAGGGGATACCCCCGCGTATTATCATTATTGGTTTTTATAAAGTTTGGCTATCGCGTCCGGTAGCCCACCCCATGTTTTTCACCAATTATCTTTTTTAATTTGGGTTGGCGTTCACGAGATTTTATGGTATATGCAAATGTCCTTTCTTAAAAATGAATTTATGAAATGCAGGTTGTCAGGACATCTCTACCTAACAGAAACTCTAGCATAATAGGCACAGTTTAGTTTTTAAAATTTTGCTACAGTGTAGGTATCGACATTCACAAACTTTTCATTTTTTTTTTTTTTTTTTTTAAATATACCAGGTGTGCACCATCCCACTTTGAAAGTGTGCTTTTTTTCCCAAGCACGTGACTGCAATATTTATGCTTTTCAAAGTGTTTATCGCCCCGTGGAGCACGCCTTTTTCTGAGCACCCCTGCACTGCGGAAAAGCAACACCCAGGGAAGCGAGCCTCGCGGGTGCTGCTGCTCCGCAGTGCACCAGTGCTCGGTAAACAGCACGCTCAACGGAGCCAATGCTCTGCAGTCAACACTTTGCAAAATATGAATGTTGCAGTTCATCCCGAAGCGAATGTCAAATTGCTTATTATTAGAAGATTTGAATATTTGCACAATTCTAGAAAATTAAGGTCTTACGCAAATATAACCATTCAAATTTTCTCATACTCTCCAGTGGAGCGACATCACACGTCGTTGCATAACTCGCAAGTTGAGCAGGCAGTTTAAAAACGCGGTATCTCACTCTTTATTTTTCATGTTATGCTGGTGTAGGTTATGCCAGTATTCATTTCACACTGTCAAACTTCTTGCAGCCCGTCGGGAACAAGCTGTACTGCCCCCATATGACATTTGACGTTGTGTTTTCAGTGTTGCCAGTAGAGTCTCAAACTGACCGAATTTATATATTTAGTACTTTGCAAAAAAGAGACTTGTAATTTGGTGTACTAGTTCAGATGTCTATTAACGTGCTGAACCAATTTTGAGGCAAGTCAGTGACTGTCCAAAATTTTGCCGGAACTTCCCTTCAAAAGCAGTGCAGTCCACATTGCTCACATGCAATCTGGAATTTTTTTTTAGATTGGGGGGGGGGTTTGGAGGGTGGGAGAAACAGTTCATTACCTCATGGCAACCATGCTTTCTGAACATACTCCCGGTTTAAATTACAGTGTTAAGTTTGCATTGGCTCGGAAGCAGTGTACATACAAATGTCCGTGCCACAAACATTCTGCCTGGCAGTTTTATGCGGCCATCCCTAGTGGCCTACCGTCCAGAGCAGAAGCCCAGAAGGTGTAAAATGTTTTCGATATTTTTCTTTGCATTTTGTTGCCCTTGCTCTTTTTGTATTGTAAGGGGTGTTGTTTTATCAAGCAGTGCATGTTCGTGAATAAAACTTAATACTTTTGCAAACCGTGCGGTTCCCCATGCTTTATTTCTCCACCAAAACATTGACAAAGTGGTTTGGATGCTTAGAGGCGGCAGAAAGCCCAAGCGCACCGCTAACGAGCACCAAAGTTCATTTCAGATGACCGCCGACCAACTATTCGCAACTCCAACGCCCTATAGTTGGCGGGGCGGTAGTTCCAAGACGGTGGAAGGGACAGGGATAGATTTCCCAGGATTACCCGTGCACATGCTGGTCAGTGTGCTAAAAATAATTAGTCTATTTAGTTGGCAGGAGCATATGACAGGTGACTGAGGTGCTAATGTGTGTTAGGAAAACGAGCATGCTGATATTTAGAAGTTGCGGAAACCTCAACTTGCAGAGCTTTGGAGAGCGCGTTTTGGGCATCGGCCACGCCTCTGTGGCAAAATATTTTTGGCTGAAGAGGCCGCCGGGACACAAGACCTCCTGGCCAGCATCTAAAGCGGTGCCTCCTGCCTCCCCGGCCTGGTGCCGAGGGGGGAGGGAGAATGCCAATTCTGTCGGACAATAAATGTTCTTTCCTCCTCCTCCTCAGTGGGCTGAAGATATCATGGTGTTTGTGCTCTGTCTGGCCATTAGTGCTTTATAAAGTGAGCCGTGCACGAAGACAGTCAAGCTCTGGAAGAGCAGTGTTCACAGTATTAATGTGTGTGTTGCATGCTCGCCACTCGCTGCTCACAGTCACGGTTTTAGCGTACTGCAACCCGTGACCATAATACACTATGGTTAGTTTTAGGATAGCTTAGCCACAGGCTACTGTACGGTAAAGCATTGCAACCGCAAGTTCGTACCGCGCCTTTGAAGCACAATTTTCAGCACCTGCCAGCAGCATTGCCGTGCTCCGGTAGCTTGCAATAATGCTATGCTAAAACTGCCTATTGAAGCCATCAGCATGTTTAGGAGTTTTATTTATTGCTCTGTCAGCTATTTTAATACACCATAAATTTGAGCTGTGTTTGCAGCGTTGAGACCCGCCTCGCCAAAACTGCCCGTTGAAAGCTCTCGTCACGAACGGCTGGCTAGCACAGACTCGCTTAAAAAGCTTTGAGCATTTCTTTGATTTTGTAATTACCTGAAATCAAGTATGCGTATTCTGTCTCTTGAAAAGGCTCGGAACAAATGGTCATGTTCCTTGTAACGGTCTGAAAACGCTAACCCATTCCCGATGTCTAATGCTTGACATACTGTTCTGCGACTAGTCTCCTCTTGCAATGCTTTACCGTACAGTAGCCTGCGACTAGTCTCCTACTTGGGGCAAAGAATAAACTTTTCGTAAACCGTACGCTATAAAGCTCCCCAGGGAGCATTTGCCGTCACGTTGAGCACAAACTGAGCTGGCGACCACAAGACCAGCATCTGCATTGTATGCGATATACGAAATGCCCCTAGTGAAATAAGATATCCCAGCCCCTTTGTGCAACATTGTTGCGGGGTGGAACACAAGAATTGCTATTCTAACGCGCTCACTTTTTTCGTTAAAACTGCTTTACGTACAAACACGTCGACCAGAACCATGCGGTAATGTAGCGGCACCAAGGCCGACAGTCCCTGCCGTTGTCTCCGTGCCGCCGCCGCTCTCCCCGCTCCTCTGGTTCTTTGTTTGTTCGCGAGAGGGCGAGCGGCGGGCTGGAGTTGCGAATAGTGTCTTGGAAGGTATGCAGCCATATTTCTAGAAGCAAACATTTTGCATTGTGATCTAGAGACGAAGGAAATGGCAGAGTCACCTGCAATGGTGTGCCTGGTGATTCTGGGAGGGGGACAGCCTAATGACAAAGCACTCATACTTCTATTTACATCTACAAAGAAAACACTCGAACATCAGTGCAGGTCATGGTGGTAAACTGGAAAAACTTCTCGACCAGTCTCATAGACCGATGAGCATAATGTAAAACAAGTCTCCAAACTTTTTGGCTAAGGGATCTGTTGCCGTCTCAAGGGCTGGAAAATAAATAAGTAAATATAAATGAGGTATAAGCTTAAATAATCCTAGATCAGCATCTAAATACAAAATTGAAATTTAGAATAAAAAAAATACTGGATGAAAAGATATTTTATTTTGAAATTCAATATTTAGCTCACTGACATTACACAATAATTGGGACCTAGACAACTTGTGGCATAAATCAACGCACATGGGAACTTTGGTATGTTCACGCAGGGCAGAAGACTAATGAGAATGATAGAACAGATGCTGACAATATGCAGTAGATATGACACCGGACACTAAGCACAATATACATGGGAATGCAAAGGAATTTTAACATGCATCGTTACACTGATATAGAACAGGGGACTAAGATGGTGATGCCAGTAATAACAATGTCCAAACTTCAAAGAATAATGTGGTGAGAGGACGCGCCTTATCGATAGGCAGATTTTTGTCATCTTTTTATGGCATCTTCGTTTACGCGCACCGTTTCTTTACGCCCACTTATTTTTGCGCCGGTAGCAGCGAGCTACGAACTGGGCTTGGAGTACTGTGGCCAGCCACGGGCCAGTCAGGAGACATCCGCGGGGTGGATTTGGCCCACGGGCCGTGGTTTGGAGATGCCTGATGCCAGATATTGCAAACTTGCGTCCCGGTGTTGAAAGGTTCTGGAACTGCCCCAATTCATTTTTTGCTTCTACACCAGCTGATGGAAGAGTCGGAAACCTGAAACACAGCTTCCAAACTCGCTGTTATGTTGCCACTTTAACGACAACAAATGAAAAAAAGCCAACCCATTTCGTTATACTACCATTGCTAATGCCACAATTGATATCGGCCAGTGACGTGAGACAATCATAAGCTCTATGGCGCTGCCAGCATGACTAGTGCACGACGGTGACCACCACACAGTATACGAGTTACAACTAGTAAACCCTGCTGGTACTACTGTCTCCACGACTATAGAAAACGGCACGAGAGAAAACGCGGAAGATTGTGCCGGTCCAAGCAGTGCAAGTGCAAAAGACATCCGCCGCTGCCTGCATATGGACATAATTCCGCTTGTTGCGCCTCTCTTCTGCTTCAGAATAGGAGGCTGGTGGTTGCGACAGGATGTGCCTGGGGAACCACATTCAAATCGAGGCAAAGCTTCCCTTTCCTTAAAAGCTGACCATACTGAAATAGGCCTTTAGCTCTTGAGTTTCGAGCAGCGCTTCCAGTGAGCAAAATGGGATATTTTTAGGGCTGGACCGGTGTATGAAAAGAAACAAAACGGCTGAAAAGAATGAGTTCTCTGTGTTTCGACAGAACGCCGAGGCCACGAGCTGCATATTGTTGTTTGCTTGTTCCTTATATTTTTTTTAGGCACTCTCTTAGCACACATAGAGGCGCTGACAGATGCTTGTGTTTCACATGGTGCTGCCTTTATGGTCGTGTCTTGCAGACGCCACAGCCAGCATTACGTGGGCGCATCTTGAGGATTTTGAGAGAATTGGGCCTATTTGCTTTTGCCTAATTTGTTTACTATGAGAATGGTGAAGCGTCTCTTTCAAACGCTCGGCTTTCGGCAGGTGCTCATTGCCTTTTGTAATGCTTTGGCTGCCCATGCGTGCTCCAAGCTCGTGAGACGCCAAAGCATTGTTGAAGGTTTGCGCTGGAGGCGGGACAAACAGCTGCGACCCTTTCCCGCCGTTATCATACTGCTGGTGACCGTGGTGTTTCAGAGATAACCTTGTTGGTGATGGCGGTGTGGCGACACAAAGGATTTGTGGCCTGTTTTATGTACAGTTCACATTGGAATGTGAGGATGAGGCAAAGTGCCAGTGTACATGAGGGTCTTAGTTCACGCAAGTTTCACTAAATGTCGGTCCATAGCAAAAATAAGAAAGGCAAACTCCGCAAATATCAACTACCTACTAATACCTCAATGTGGTTCTAATGCCAGTTTCCCCAGAAAGTGAAGTGTTCAGTGACACATTTATTTTTAATGTTTATTAAGTTGTTTACAATGGCTTAAATTGCGGGTCTTCTTCAGAGGTGCGCAGGAACACAGAATAAAGAAAAGGAACGAAGTCGACAAGCACCCCTTTTAAGAGGAAGCTCGCATCTTCTAATCGGCAATCTCGATTTTTATTCATAAAAGTAGGTACTTTTAGTAAATAGTTTTGGCGGCCTAATATTACGTGCCTCAAAGCATGCTTCGAAATGGCAGCTTTAGATCGCGACACCAACATTGTCCCGCAAGAACACGACCGGCTTAAACGGACCAGTCGGAGTAATGCCCTTGTTAACCATCACTCTGCGTCATATATACACGGAAGAGCTACTAGTATAGAAATTGTTTTGAGAACATCAGCGAAACCAATAACAATGAGTGAGCATTTGCCAGCACAAAGACAGCTTGCATGCTAGATCAGAAGTTCTCAAACTTTCCTATCTCGAGGGGCCCTTATGTGTCCCGAATAGCCGTTGAGAAACCTCTCTTGGTTTCTGTGTTGGTGCAGTGAAGCAGTGCAGAGGCCTGCAGATTTTGAAAACAACAATGCGTATGCGAGGGAGCGTTACATATCTGCTAACATGGTGCTTAAACTGGTTAAAAAAACTTTACTTATGGGCTACAAAGATGGTCGAAAAAAATTTGGTAGCTTGGGGAGCCCATGAGGGTACTCTAGGGAAACCCGGGTTCCTAGGAACCCGTTTTGAGAACTTGTATGCTAGACAATGAACTGGGGGCACCAGCCATGCTGAAAACAGCTCCCTTGACTCTCTGTGCCTGCATAATAGTAAGGTGTCACTAGGTTGGCATCACGGTTAAAAATGACATGTGTTTTGGCATTCACCCAGACAATTAGACTGGAACATTTACCTTGAAAAAGACTGCAATATTAAAATTTAACCCCACAGTAAAAGAAAAGTGTGCAAACACTGCACCTGATTATGAATATGAAATGACCAGCAATTCCAGTTATCCACCATGCTTTACCGAGAAAACACATAGTATCCTTTTCTACTACTTGTCTACTATGCCAACAATATTTAAAGGGGCCCTGCAATCATATTTAAGCGTTTACTTTTTTTGCGGTTTCCACGTCTCTTAGGGTTCAGGCAAGCCAGCGGGCACGGAGAGAGTAACTAAATATCAGTGCATCATATTTTACCCAGACGACGCGGAAACCTCCTCCACCGACGGGGGCGACCCACGGTACCGAAAGCGCGTGAAATGTGACGTCTTTGGTCCTCGGCTTACTACTGGTCAGAGCCGCTAAAAGCTTCTTTTTAGTCGAAATACAAAATATAAGTGGCGCGAACCGTTTCAATTATTTATAAAAGTAGTTTTGGTTCAGTATTTTAGATAAAAAAAGAAACGAATGCAGTTCATGAAGTACGGAAACAAGAAAAAACCCTTCGACATACCCGCCACCAAGCGGTGAAAAAGGCGGCGCATACTAGAAAACAGTAGTGGGTTCAGGCACCGACACGGAAAGGTCCCGGATGTACGCGGCGGTGCTGCGGTCGTTTACGGACTGGAGGATCCGACCAGCTCTGAGCGTTCCGAAGGCCTTCAGCGAGTAGCTTTGTCTTGCGTTTTGGCCATTTCGCGGTACGGCAGCGCGAAGTGACTCCCATTCTGAACTGATCTTTACCCCGTGTTTGCTGTCGTTTGGGTCCAATGAAGTGTCATGCCGATTTAGTGTTTAATCGCGCAGCAAATGCAATGAGAGCCGCTCTGGCTGCTCGCTGTATACAGCTTATCCAGAACACGCTTTAGTGGCGCCCTCTCGCGCCGTCGACACGGAGTGCGGCAGCCGTGAGCGCTCGCTGCGCTCACTATCTCTCCTCTAGTTCACGGCCACTCAAGCAACCAAGGACGTCATGAGGGAGGTTCTTTTTTGCTTGTTTTTGTAATTTTAATTTGCCTATAACTTTTAAAATAAAGCGAAATTCAAGGAAAGAAAAGTTACATTAAGTTACTACGGTCAGTGCGCTCAGGTTTGGTGCAAATTAAAAACAAGTAAAAAAGTGCTTGCAGGGCCCCTTTAAAGGGGCCCTGCAATCATATTTAAGCGTCTACCTTTTTTGCGGTTTCTACGTCTCTTGGGGCTGGGGCAAGCCATGGGGCACGGAGAGAGTAACTAAGTATCAGTGCGTCATATTTTAACCGGACGACGCGGAAACCTCCTCCACCGACGAGGGCGACCTGCGGTACCGAAAGCGCGCAAAATGTGACGTCTTTGGTCCTGGGCTTGCCACTGGTCAAAGCCGTTAAGAGCTCTTTTTTAGTCGAGATACAAAATATAAGTGTCGCGAACCGTTTCAATTATGTATGAAAGTGGTTTTTGTTCACTATTTTAGGTCAGAAAAGAAACAAATGCAGTTTAGAAAGTACGGAAACGAGAAATGACCCGTCGACATACCCGCCACCAAGCGGCGGAAAAAAATGGCACATAGTAGAAAAGACTAGTGGGATGAGGCTACGACGGCTACGACAAACGAGGAGCGTAGAAAGGTCCCGGATGTATGCGGCGGCGCTGTGGTCGTATACCGGCTTAAGAATCCGACCGGTTCCGAGCGTTCCGAAGGTTTTCGGCGTGGGCCCTGTTGGCGATTTGGCCATTTGGCGGTGCGTCAGCGCGAAGTGGCTCCCGTTCTGAACTGATCTTTACCCCGTGTTTGCTGTCGTTTGTGGCCAATGGAATGTTATGCCGAATTAGTGTTTAGTCGCGCTGCAAATGCAATACGAGCTGCCCTGGCCGCCCGCTTCATACAGCCTATCCAACACGTGCTTTAGTGGCGCCCTCTCGAGCCATCGCCACGGAGTGCGGCAGCCGTGTGCGCTCGATGAGCTCACTACTCCTCCTCTAGTTCAAGGCCACTCAAGGCAGGACCTACGACGTCATGAAGGAGGTTATTTTTTGCTTGTTTTTGTAATTCTAATTTGCCTATAACTTTTAAAATAAAGTGAAATTTGAGAAAAGAAAAGTTGGATTAAGTTACTACGTTCAGTACGCTCAGGTTCAGTGCAAATTAAAAACCAGTCAAAAAGTCATTGCAGGGCCCCTTTAAGTTTTCTTTCTATAGTAGTATTTTTACAGCTTGAAGGGGAATGTGAACACACATTCATGTGCACTGCACGATACTGTTAACGCAAACATGACATTGGTGCTTTTAGAGCGCAGCTCTTAGGCACCCATTCCCGGCTTGAGCGGTGTCGGCGTCTCCGCAAGTAACCCTCGTGAGGGTTACGACGGTTACTCTCGCAAGGGTTACCCTCACGAGGGCTACGAGGGTTACTAACCCTCATAACCCTCACGAGGGTTATGAGAGTTACCCTCACGAGGGTTATGAGAGTTACCCTCACGAGGGTCACGAGTTGCCCTCACAAGGGTTACCCTCAGAAGGGTCACGATGGTTACCCAGGTCACGTGACCCCCCCGCGGTCACGTAACCTGGGAATACCCCCCCCCCCCCCCCCCGAGGTCACGTGACCCACCCGTTGACGTCATCAGTGACGTCACTGATGACGTCATCGGTATCCACGTCGGAATCGTCACTGATGACGTCATCAGTGACGTCACTGATGACGTCATCGGCATCGTCACGTGACCCCCTGACGTCACGTGACCCCCCGACGTCACGTGACCCCCCCCCCCCCCCCCCCCCAAGGTTACGTGACCCTCCCGCCACCCGAGGTCACTTGACCCACCCCCCTAGTACCCATCCCTCCTCCTCCTCAAGAGCTGCGCTCTAATTCGGCGTTACAGGGAGTTGTAAACAGCTTTCATTTTTTTTTTTTGCGCTTTAATTTTAAACATTATTTGGAAGGCACCAAAATTTACAGCTTGGGTAAATGTCCCAAACAAGAACTTTCCACCACACAAAAAATTTCAATTACAACTTTTCGGTTTGAAAAAAAAAAAAGGAAAAAAAGAAAGCCAATCATTTGTTGCATTAAAAGTGTTGCACTTGTATGTACAGAGCTCACCAAGCTTATACGGAGCACGGGATGATTTGTCGAGGGGTACATCACAAAACCATTGCCTGGCAGCCGCCAGGATAACACTCCCATAAGAAAAGACACAATTTGCATGTTTTGTAAGTTTGGTGGGCACTGTACATACAAAGTCATATGCGTTCCATTTGCAGCACAAGCACACAATTATATACAAAAAAAAACTATGATGGACTACTTATTCATCATGCACCACCATCGGCTTCAAGTTAGTCTTAGCTCATTACAAAAGACCTGGTTACAACAGACATTTGGATATAACCTACCGATTTGTGAAGTTCGGTTGGTTTTCCTCTACATACCATTTACACAACTTCATATCTGCCATACAAGATACTCCTCTTACAACAGACCGAAATCTTGGTCAAAATCAAGGTCTATTATAACGAGCTTAGACTGTAAATCAAGGTCTATTATAACGAGCTTAAAATCTGCAAAAAAGTTCAAATGGTAATTCAATTTTGTAAATCTCGTGGTTAAACATTAAATATTGCATTCAGAAACTATAAATATAAAAAAGCAACAAGCTTTGAATGTAGACAGCTTCATTTTCCTGCCTCACACTTGAGTCTGCAAAGCTAATTTCCTCTCTGCACTCACCTTCAGAACACAAGTCACATCAAGTGTCTCATCATATGGCCAAATACTTTACAAGGAGAATACATTATACTCTGGTCATATTTGCACTAGAGTGTCCCCACAGCACCAAATCCTCCCTGGGCAGTGGGGAAACCCAGTATCTGAGAGAATGCACGTGCAACGTGCTGTCCATGCTGTCATGCTTTGCTGAGGGAGAGGGGTTGCCGCCAACACACCAAGATACCAGATTTGGCAAGGCAGCTGAAACGGGTGTCATTGCTGTCTTGACAAGTTTCCACAATGATAGATGGCAACAGCCACTCCTCCCGATGCAAAGGAGAAAACTCCAATCTGTGCACGTCCAGCTCTTCCAACTATGCAAAAGCTATAGGTGCCAAGGCCATTGAATTTTTGTGGAGTAGGATGTATTCCCTAGTAAAACATTTCGATTGGGTCTCACCATGCTCCGCAAGGGCACAGACTTCATTATTAAAAAGTGTGGATTAGAATCGGGCAAATACGATTCATTTGAGGTAATTCAAACTGCTGAGGTACATACCTAAAAATAATTATGTTAGTTGTAATTTATTTGCTTTAGGTATTTTGAACCACATCTATGAGTAATTTTGATCAATCAGGGGCCATTCATACTACAGTCAATCTTGTAGGTGTTTAAGAACCCCGAGAAAAATACTGGTCCCCTCGTGGGTGCTTCTTTGTGTCCTCCGATTTGTAACAGGTATGTTAACACAAAATGGAATAAAAAAAAATAAAAAAAGAACATTAATAAAACTACTGCAGGTTGTCTCCCTTAACAACTTGTCACTCCTACAAATGCACTTTGCTTTAAACCATAGAACCTCTAAGCCATGGGCAAGTACACACTACTCTGAAGTTTCTGGAGAACAAACAAAAACGAAAGGTGTAAAGAATGAAAGTCTGAGGAAATAAAAAAAAACAGTTCACGGGCATCCAGCATGTCCTCTTTCTATACCCCCTTCAATAAATAAGTCTCGTAGCCGACGCAGGTTTCTGCAGTGACTGCATGCTACCTCCGGTCTGGGAACCAGAACATCTTGCAGTTTGTCCAGATTCCCCGACTGTAGGTGCCGATGCGGTGCCTGCGCAGCTCGTAGATGGTGGTGTTCAGGGCCACCAGCCAGAGCTGCTGCAGCAACATCAGGGCCACCGGCACCGCCACAAGAAGGGCGTAGACGGCAGACACGAAGCACAGGGACATGCTGAAACGACCAAGAGACAGGCGCTCGCTCACCACGCGCGAGACAAATTTGCATAACGGGGAGAGTACGTGCACACGTCGCACGAAGGTGGGAGGGGTTGGTGATAAGTAGGTCTCCATGTTCTCGGTACAGTGACGTCTTGTTAATATGGACACCTCTGTTCCTCGAAATGTAGTCTACAATTAGAGTTGTCTATAATAACGAGACATAAATGCAAGTGTTATCCCATTTCGTCCCCAAAAACTTTGTCCATGTGCACGGCATTAATTTCAATGGGCATGTATTAACGTTAATGAGACATTAATGTATATACCGATAAATTCCGGAGAGTACTTCAATATCCCGAGAGGTAGCCCACCCAAAATCGAGAGCGAATCGGTCAAAAATAAGGAATGGGCTAACTTTCGGGGTGCAATCAAGAAAAGTTTAAAAAGGCTATTTTTAGATTGTGCCCCTGCCAAACTTGTTATTCTGGTGAGGGGCGGTGGAGCAAAAATAAATAACTGCACCACCCAGTCAGCAACATTCGCTTTATTCTGCCATTGCTAACTAGCCACATTTACGCCGAGGTCATTGTTGATCCGAACAGTATGATTACATCTTTCGGTGTAATTAAGGGTGTTAAGTCTTCCCTATTTGCAGTTCTTAAAGGTGCACTAATGTGGTCTCCGAGATCATCTTTTTATGGTGCAAACTTAACCCGTGCTCCCTACTGTCCTAGAAAACCCCAAATCACAATTATGAGTGGCCTTTTTTCCCCATTAACAATGTTTCCCCATTAACAATAACAACAACAATGGCGCGTTTCAGATTGTTTGGTTACATTTTTAATAGGAAAAAAGACTATGCATTAGGCACTGTAATTTTGGATTTGTGTTAGGATGCTTAGGGTGCAGACAGACATTGCCATAAAAAGACAAACTCAAGATCCACGTTAGTGCCCCTTTAAGGGCCTGCTCACACACACACCACAGTGCTACCTCAGCACCTCGTTGATGCAGTGTTAACTTCAGGCTACACTATAGTGATACAGCACTGGTATGGTGCTGCGTCAATGCTAAGTTACATTCAAGTCAGCACTGCATTAATGCTGTTCCTAGTATTGATCAGCCACAGCGATGTATGTGTGAACTGGCCATAAGGGGAAGGCTCGAACACTTTATTCGTAACATCGAAAATACAACTTTATATGCATTATTTTTATGGTATATACCTATGAAACAAGACTCTCCCAGCTTTCTTAAATGCAAAAGCCACTTTAGGTTTCCTTTAATTCACCTTTTGAAATTTGTAGATTTGTAGAGGTATGTGTCAACAAGAAGCCCTAAGGCGGGCATTTTTATTTATCATTTATTTGAGCATACCACCAGCTCCAGTGCAGGAGGTATTGTAGGATTGGTTACAAAAATTAAAAAAATGGCAATGCCATGACAAGCCGGGAATACTATATCTTGAGCAAGTTTAGAACAACTGGCTTAATGATTTACCTTCTTGGTTATAATATATTCAACCTAACCTCAACACTCGTAAAAAAAAATTTATGTTCTTTAGATCAAAACATAAACCTGTCCTACATTACATAAATATTACTTTTGAAGGACAAAAAATTGAGTGCATAACAATGTTAAAGTTTTTTGGCATGTATGTTATTTGAAAAAAACTTTTGGTTGGAGTTCCCATATTGAGAAAATGATACTACCTATCTACAGCAATAGACCTTTTCATCTCAGTAATTACCTGACCAGTGGACAGAAGGCGCTGACACACATGGCGCCATAAGGTGGCTTCAATTTGGTTGGTTTCGGTTTCAGGGGACTCGAGGCTGTGTTGATGTGTTAAGTCGTTTTCGCTTAGTTACGTGATATCAATGTATCCCTTGTGGTTCAGAAACAATTATACAGTGGTAATGGGCCACCTTGAGAACCATGACAGTTACAAACCTAAATTGTGGATGCTTTTACGAACACCTTCATCCGATCTTCGTTCGGCAAAGTTCGGTGGTGAAACAACTGAAATGATGCCAAGGGAGGGTCAGCGATGTCTACGGCCGCACTGGACGTACCCGCCGATACTAATTTCCATAAAAATAAACTACCTAATGGAGAGACTATAGTTGGTTACAAGTCAAGAAGGTAGGAGAAGCTCCTCCCACAAGCGTGATGCGCCCGTTTCAAATCCCTCCGCAGTCGAAAGAAGAGTTCACTGGAAACGCTCCTTGTTCCGCTTCAATGGATGGATAATAACCACAGAGTGGTGCCACCTTGTCTTCGACCCCCACTTTTTAAGAAAGCGACCTTTGTATTCATCGGAGGGGGAACCGAGCCCCTGAAAGAGCTTTTGTAACCATTGAAGGGGGAACCTAATCCCTGAAAGTCAAATTTGTTTTTATCGGAGGGGGAAAACTCTAATCTCCCGCTCATGGATTCCACAATGCTAAGTCAAAGTCGAAAGATAAAGCAAATATGTACAGAAAAGTAAGACCCTCCTCGCGCATTGGCCGCGACGTCACGGAAACGATGGGACGCTATTGGATGCAAAGGTGGCGGAGGGATATATGATTCCCTTCGAGGGGCATTTGCCGCTACCTTCTTAACCTGTAACTTACTATAGTGAATGGAGGCACAGTGAAAAAGCAGGTTGAAGACCTGACTAAAAATGTGCTGAATCACAGAGAACAGATGAACTCGGAAGTTTAGTGCCCACTGTTCGGTCTTCGAGGACACCAACGTTTTGTGAAAATTGCCGACCGGGAAACTTCCCTTTAATGACACATGGAGTGTAAAAAAGAAGCGATAGTTTCTCCATTGGTTTCTTTAAAGAAATGAAGTACCCAACAGGAAACTATTTCTTATTTGCCTCGAGATCAAACCGTGTCACCACCGTGCGCCATGCATCATCTGTTACAGGCGCACGTTTAGAAGCATGGATCTTGATGACACAAGCCCGTTTCCGGCTCAGCTGAGCTTTCCTCAATAAACGGTTGTTTTTGTTGTCGTTTCTTCCTACTAAAGGTTGTGTTGTACAGTTGAACCTCGATTTAACAAGTCACCGGGACCCGCTAATTATTTCGTTACATTGGGAACTTCGTAAAATCAAGGAAGGGATACCTCGTGCATAGGCTGCGCGGGGAATCCGAATTCGTTCGTTAAATAGGGAAATTCGTAAAACCGGGTTTCGTTAAATCGAGGTTCTACTGTATCGTTTCACGTGAAAATTCAGCAAAGTGATTATTATAAAGTCGAAACCTTCCATAATCTTAGTGTAGTGGTTCGCATACAACCGCCGTTCCCCATATTTTAGTTATCTCGCACAAACCTTAACTTTCATAAAACGCTGAATGTTGATCAGAGCTGTGGCTTGATTAAAACATTAGCCCAACTGATCGCTACGATTTCACAGCCCACAGAACCAGTATTAAGTTATCCGGGTTGAATTCATTGTTTTGTTGAATTCCCACGCTGGTGAACCGATACATCTCCTTTAAAAGAAACAAATATTTAACATAAATAGGGCAATTTACCCAGAGACAGGCCTCCGTTGTGGTAATACATGCTTCCTTACGTCTGCTCTGGTCTGCCTAGAGCAAACGACGCATCCACACGAGCAATTATTTATATTTAGGCCGTACACTGGTAACACTATTCAATCTCCACTGAAGCACCGAACAGTACCGCGTCATTTTCCACTAAAATCATTTTCCTACCGATACTATGAAACAAAATAAATGCAAAAATCTACACCGTCTTGCATGCGAACGTGGATAGCCTATGGGGCGGCCATGCTTCTATCCCTGTTGTAATGATAATGACAGCACAGCAGTAGCGCCACCTCTATGTCAATCTCAAGGCCAATACGGACATTTCCTTACAACGTACTGAGAATGAGAGATAAGGGACCAACCTGTCAATTGAAGTCTGATGTCTGTCTTCCGTATAATTTGCAAAATAAAATTAAATGGCACAAAAAAGAATTGACCTCCAGCAAGCTTGGCTCAAGTCAAATGCGAGGCACCACTTCATGGATTTGTGTAGACAGATCTTTGTTTGTTTCAACAGATACGGTTTTCACTTTCAGCGGCGTCGAGAGTAAATCCGGCATCGACAACGCTGCACTCGAGTTATTCCCATGCAGATGGCCTCTCTTCAGCGTCACATGTTGCGTGCCTCCGGTGCTTTTGTCAGGCACTCACAAGCTGTCTTTGACACGTTTCTCACCAGAGGAGCCCACCCCTTTGTGTCTAAATAAATTAATCGAATATATTTAAAACATTGAATCACTGCAGACACGCGACCGAGCACAGTCTATAGTTTCTTTAAATTCATAAATAAACAGATCAAGCGAATCTTTATACCACAAACATGATTCCCCATATAATAAAAAATAACTTTTAGATTTGTTATGAAGGCAGAGTACCTACAATGCTTTCAAGAAACACACACAGTGGCTTTTTGCGTTGACTATATTTGTCTTCTTTAAGATCATAAATGTGTGATCATAAATATACCTTGCATTTCTTATTGCACCACTATCCCTTAGCCACTATCACTTAAGCAAATTTGAGCTGTCATAAATAATTGGCATCTCAATTCTCGTGTGTCTTAGAGTCGTCTACATACTCAAAGTGCACCAGTGCTAACGCTGATTCCTTTCCTCACGTGTATCCGGTACGCCAAGGGTGAAAATAGTCAAAATGTGTTATAAAACCAAGTGCACAAGTTGTGCACATAATGGTGGCACGCAGTTAGGTAGTAAAAATAAGTATCAAACAACATTTCACAAAGCAAGGCAAAAAAACTGAGGTAAAAAGCTACGTAAAACAAGAATACAACGCCTTCAAGGCGTGGAGGGGAGTGAGAAGCGACAAGTTGAAGCCACTTTATGGCGGCTGCGTCACGCGATTTCAAAATGGCAGCACCCATGCGACAGAGGATGAAAAGGTCCATAAGCTCACTGAATCTCACAAAATTATTGCCACGGTGGTTAAAGTTGCAACTATATTATTCACTTTTTTTTCCCGCTGTATTTTGTGTTTCATGGTGCATGTACTTCTCCGAGGTCATTGAGAAAGCATTGTACCACATTTGAAAAAAAAACAAAAAAAAACAAAGAGCAATAAAAAACCTATAAACTATTTTTGTTGGGTATGCGCGCGACAGAACGAGTGCAACTGGAATGTATAGTTCTAGTTTTATTGTTTCAGTTTTTTACGATAAGTTTTGGCGGCGCCGCATGTCAAATGACAAAGCGCTTAGCTGTCGAAAATAATTTACAACAGAAAATAGCCGAAATATATGCATTTTTCACGCTCACAAATAATGTGTTTACCGATTGACAGGACACGGACATACAATTGAGCAAGTGTTGACATTCGCACAATATATTGTACGTACCACACGATGCAGCGTTATCCTAAACAAATTTATTTGAGAAAGATCTCAAATAACACAGTCGCAGTCGATGACAGTCACATCCTGACGATCGGACGGAATCCAAGCTGACTTCGTTTTGGGGCACGTTTTGGCGAGAGCTTCCTTTTTTCCCAACAGCACCAAGGCAAGGAACGAACGCAACTGACCTGTTTCCCACCCCGACCCGGACAACTATTTTTGGAGATTACTGAGGATTCTACGTGGATTATCTCTGGGAGGGGGAGAACAATATTTGCAAAATCGCGTCAAGGGCCGTTCGACGTCCTTTAGCTCCTCCATTTCCCGTGAAAGTCGAGCAGAAAAGCTTGAATGGCAGGCACTTACCAGCCTTATTTCTCACAGTGGAAGATAACACAGAAAGGTACGCAGCACGCATAAAAAAATATTAAGTGGGAACTTTCAAGAGGGGTTAGAAAACGTCCAATGCAAAACCGCAAAAACATAGGTAGAGAACCGCACTGAGCGGCTCTTCACAGTCCAAGAGAGTGGCATAAAATTTCTAGCTGGTAGAGGGCGCGAGAGTCGCACCAGCCGTATAAGCATCAGCAACATGACGGCAGCCTAGGAGCGTTTTTTGGAAAGATATATAGTTTGATATCCTCGCCAATGATACAGCACTGGATCAGTGCTGTTCCTAGTGTTGATTTAGTGCTGCAATGTATGAGTGAACCGGCACTCAAGCTACCAATTTTAGCTGGCTCAAAAAGCTTGCCTGAAGCTGAGCTCTTTCAACCAACTCGGTGAATGATGTAACAAAAATAATAAAAATAAACCGAACAGCTAGTTTTTTAATACTTTCCAGCTTTTAAGACAGATTTGTGAGAGATACGGCAGCCGAGAGAAAGCACTCACTGGATGTCCTCGTAGACCTCCGAGCAGCTCTCTGGTACGAGCACAGTGCCCCAGAGGGTCCTCGGGCGGCACACCGTGGTCAAGGTCAGGTTGGACCCGTACAGGAGGGACACCACCAGACCAGCCAGGCCCAGGATGAAGGCCCTGTGGTTCCTCTCCCCAACGCACGTGTCGAGCCTGAGCAGAAACAGCGCCGTTTGTCCGTGATCAGGGCCGTCCACTCCCCTAGCGAAAACTGCAGCCAAAGTTGAGGTTTAGCAAAACTAGAGACATTGTGTATGCAATCGCAGGGAGCAGAGTAACGTAAACTTGAGCGCAGTCTTTTGGTGGCTAGCGGCGAACGCCTCCAGCACTCTCACTCGGTTTAACTCTGCTTGCAAATACGTTGAGAATGAGAGAACTCTGCAATTTGCACACTGAACGAGCAATTTAGAGTATAACAACTATTTTTAGCTTATTATACAAGCTAGCCTCTGGTTTCATTTGGTTATTAAACAATTTTTTTCCTAACGAGCGAAGGCCCCACGTCGTCCATTCCCGACACCAGATATTTCGAGCACCAACTTCCCAGCACACAAGACCACTGTCAAAGAAATCGAGCACATGCAGCCACGCACCAGACGCAGTGGTGGTCCCTCTTGAGGACGCAGTGGCCGCAGAAATGGCAGTGGCTGCACCTGGGCGGCTTTACCAACTGGCACACCGTGCACGTGTCGCCTTCGCCGTAGGCAAAATCCACGCTGCAGGAGGCCGCAGCGTTGCTGGACTTGACCATCTCGGCGGCGACCGGACCCACATAGCCGGGATTGCTGTGCACCAGGTAGCCGCAGATGCAGGTGAAGGTGACCATGGTCATAAGGAAGAAGTTCTCAGAATAGAGGATCTCCAGGTAAGGGACCACCTCCAGGTGGAACACCCCGAGCAGCAGCACCAGCGACGTGACCGTCCACGACAGGAAGAACCTGGGGGAAACAATGAGGCTGAAGACTCGCTGGAAAGTGACCAGGCAAAATGCCAAGCGTCACATTAACAGACTGTTGAACTAGGACATGTTCTCTGCACAGTCGCAGCACTTGATGTACCAGAAGTGGAGATTTTCCTCTGGTTCCAGTCTGCTTTGACACATTTTTTTTTGTCTTGTCAGGGGGAAGCTTTCCTTCACTTGCGTCCCTGGACAGAGATTCAAAGCGCGCTCGTCCCGTGGGTCTGGACAGCCACACACACTCTCTGCTGGTGGTCGTCGAGGAATCTGCGATTGTTGTCAGTCAACAAACCACGTGCTGTCCATGCGCAGCCCGACAGGCTCCGCTGAAAATTGGGCGAGTTGGTTATGCGTAGTTAGGAAAAGGGAAACAGCGCCAAAAGTATGGAGGACGTTTGGCGCTGTTTCCCTCAGTCTGTGTTTCAGCGCCCAGTATCAGGCTAAAGGAGAAGCTTGTGGCTTTTGAACTATGGATCAGTATTGATGTTTCAAATCTCCTGAACAAAGATCGGCTTCACAAGGTCAAACACCGTTGGTGCCTCCTTTTGTTTACTTTGCTAATACATTATAGCTAGGGTGTGCATTTTCCGGTTTTAACCGAAAAACACCGATAAACATCCGTCGGTGACGAAAACATAAAATCGGTTAAAACCGAAAAACACCGGTGGTTGGACATGTTCGCCCTGGTTAGAACCGAAAAACATCGGCCGTTGCTAGTTTCCGACCTAGCGAAACCCTTTCCCCGTAGGGGTTCGTCAAACGTGTTATCTCGTGGATCCTGCATTCTTCCAGTGTTTATACATGGCTTGCAGGTGGCGTCAGTCCGCCCTCCTTTCTGGGGGTCAAAAGCGTCTATTGAACGCAGTGGAAGCTAAGCTCTCATACGCCTTTCCCCCATTGTGTCTCCGATAGCCCCCTTCTGGGGAAAAATTAACGCAGTGGAGAATAGGCTCTCACGTGCCTTTTACTCATTGTGTCTGGCCAAGTGATGTCGGTGCAAGCCATGTATTCAGAGGTTGCTGTGGTTCCTGGAAGGCAATGCCAACGTCCGTGTCGTACAAGAGCGTGCGTTTTCATAATTGCGGGTTGCGAACCGCAAAGAACGTGCTGCCATGACGGCAGCACGTTCCTTGCGTGTAAATGCAAGCATGAAAGTATGCTTGCATCTACTATAATAACCAAGTGTGAGAAATAGCTCTGTCTGTGATCAAACGCTTTTTTTTTCACCGATAATCACCGATTTTAGCCTCGTCGTGAGACGTTCCACCGAAATACACCGGTGTTTTGAAAATAAATAAACACCGAAAAACATCCGCCGATTTTTCTCACAAATAAACACCGGAAAGTACACACCCTAATTATAGCTAGGGTTTCCATGTTTATCATGAAATTTAGACCTGTGTATAAAATTTTTTTTTTTTTTTTTTCACTTAAATTTTGGGGTTTATTTTTTGCTCGATTCCCAATTCTTTGAAATTAAATGTTGATTTTACTGTATTCCCAATTTCTTAAAATTCAAAAACAAAATAAATAAAGTGAGTGTTATGACCCATTGTCCTGAAGCAAACCTCGAGAAGCTAAAAGGCAAACCCGTTTTGTCAGTACGAGATTCCAAAGGAAACTGAAGTGGCATCTCCTCAGGACCACGTGCTCTTATAAAGTTTACTGGTAAAACAAATCCGAATTGACAGAAAATTTACTGGCGAGTGTTCTTCGGATTTATCTAAAAACACGGGACCGTAATTATAGCCCACCAACCACCAAAGGCAGCCCGAGACATTGGTTGTAGGGGGGGCAAGTTCCAGATATTGGTATGGGGGGGGGAGGTAATTTAAAACAGGGCCTACGAGATTACGTCGCCGCCGTGTCACATGGTGCCAACTAAACCAAAAAGGCCTCAAAGTGACGGCTAACATTCTCCTCTAAAGAGAGGACATAACTTGAAATAATCTGTGCGGTGTGGCAGGTGTGCATTGTCGAAGTCAACTGGACACTTCCAGTTAACAAGAGTGCTCCCGCTATCTTTAAACATATGCATAATAAAAAAAATAAAAAAAGCAACGAGATTTTGGAGGAGGCAATCGCCCCCTTCGCCCACCCCATTAAGACCGCCACTGCTAACCAGAAACACTAAGTTGGCTGAAAAGTGGGAGGGAGCTAATTTTTGGTGCGATACCCAAGAGGAGCTTAGACAAGATGCTCGCCTCACAAAAGGAGACGTGACAAGTTAAGACTCATTCGCACACTTGCGTTTGGTTGTGATAAACTGTGCTACGACCTGTTGCACCTACTTACGTTGACAGAACACACTGACACCATCTCTCAGGTGGCCATGAAACAATTTCAGTGTGTTCATACTTCCCAATTTTTGGATGCAACATTCTTTCACTGTGGGCTTCAAACAATTATTAGAAGGTTATAAGCGGCCAGTTCTCACATATAGCGTGTAGGTTTGATCTGGCAAATACTTCAAAACTTTCAGTCTAGTTCAGAACTGAAAGCGTTCAAGTGCTACTTGCACACTAGAAGCACCTAGGTTTAACTTCGCACAATGCGTCGCAGTGGAACGCAAGGAGTCTTAGCGCTGTTTCTCACAGTCAAACAAAAGTGTGTGAACCAAGCTCTATAGTACTATCGCGGACAATATGAGCTGAAACAGCGCTCTGGCCGGCGCACGGTACTACCTGCGCCGCCTGTCGCCTTGCTCCGCACACACGGCGCACACTGAGGCCGAGATAAATTAACACTTGCGCTCACTGCGCCGCTGCGCTCTTCCGGCAGTCTGCTAGCGAGACGGCGTGTGCGACAGCGTGCGTGTGTGCGGTAGGGCGGCAGGGGCTGAGGGGGGGAGAAGAAGGGGGGGGGGGGGGGGGGCAGAAGATTACAGTTGCCGTCCTTTTTTTTTGTGCAATTGATTTACTTCATTCCATCGCGTAGAATGAAGTAGAAGAAACGCTGACTGGGGAAGAAAAAATGTTGTGCTATCTTAAATTGCAGCTGCGATTATCGTTTTTCAAAGTCCCATCAAATTACGTTGCAAGTTGTTTTTATCTGATTAGGTGCATCTACAAAGTAGGACCTCGTAAAATATTAACCAAAATCTTTTTACCGGATTTAGGCCGGCTCCAATGTATTTCCTTCTTTTTCATTTTTTATTGAGCACAGCTGTTTAAAAACAACGGTAACAATACATGTTAATGCGAAGGTTTTGTAACCTTGATTGGAATAAAAATGTTCAAGAATATTATCTTAGTATTACCGGGCCCACGTGTTTCTTTCAAACAAGAAAAGTTGATGACAAGACACCAGTGTTTTATTTATAAATTTTCTAGTCTTACTAAAGTGTGACCAACAGTCATATATTGGTCATGAGAAGTAGCATGAAACTGCATCGAAAGAATATTCGCAGAGGACAATGTCAGACACAAAAGATTAATAGTCGGAGTGGAAGTTCAGTATGCGCCGGTGAACGGCATGGAACATTGTGTCGCAACCGTAGTAGCAAGCTTTGTTCCAATCAGCAGAAGTCCGGTTCAGGGGGTTCCGAGGCGCAGTAAAACTTATGAAATAAGTTAATACCGCGTCACTCTCCCCTAACCCGCGACCACGGCTCTCATCCTCTCTGCTAAGGAATCATGGAGCGCGGTCACGAAGTCTGGCTCGGCCCGAAGCCATTCACGTCTAACCGCTTCTCACAATTCGTCGGCAGTGGCGCGGTAGAGGGGACGCAGTGACATGGCTACCTTGATGCGCCTCCAGGCGTGTTCGATGATATTCAGATCGGTACCTTTTGGGGGCCAAGGCAGCTCCGTCAGGCAGCGCTCCTCGAGGAGATACGAGCGTGGCAACGCATTTTACACTTCGGCGCTTTCTTGAAAGGCACTGAAATGCATGTTAGCTGGAAACATTGGGCTACACGGCACATGCATCGTGATGGTGGTTCCATTGGCGAATATTTTCGCTAGCAGACGGCCGGAAGAGCACAGCGGCGCAGTGAGCGCAAGTGAGAATTTATCTCGGCATCAGGGTGCGGTGTGTTTGCGGAGCGATGCGACAGGCGGCGCAGGTAGTACCGTTCACAGGCCGGAGCGCTGTTTCAGCTCATATTGTCCGCGATAGTACACTCGAATGCACTTCATCTTGGAAAATATTGTGAATTCAATGGCACTCGACGTTCAAATTCCTTCCGATACCAAAAAAAAACTCAACACACTAAAATAAAATCAAGGTGTCGTCATAAACAAAATGAGAGCTGGATGGGATGAAATGCAGAGATGGGCATGGTGATCCAGCAGGCTACGACACCGGACCCTTCAGTTTCCTTATTATGTCAATATCTAATGCCTAAAGTTGCATAATGAGCGTACCTTGTCCTCGTCTTGTTCTTGGAAGCTCGCCGATGAATGAGAATGAGGCACACTGGTAGCAGCGAAAATGTGACTAAGAGGACAGTCCAGCTATGGCATGCTAGCAACAGCACAGTGGGCAGCAAGACGACGGCCGACATGACGTCGGGCTCGACACGCCTTGCACCCCCGAACCAGGGCACCCGAATGCGGTCCATCACTGTGCTGGAAATCCGGGACCAGTAGACGGGGGGGACCGGACGACGGGTCACGATCCTGCAATGTTTTTAGACAAACGGACGTCAATGTTCAAGAAATGCCCGAATGGATTTATGGATTAACCAATTCTATCTCAACTGTTTTTTCCCCTTGATTTTCTTTTTGTGCGTGACTTATTGCAACGAGTTCACGAGCATCTTTACTCTTTCCATGCATTATTTTACTACATCGCCTGTTTTGCACCACGACCGGTCGTGATTCAAACCTTTTTTTCTGCGTCAACAGTGCTTAACCCGGATTGGTAATCAGTATCAGTCTTCGATGACACAGCGCTTTAGCACAATAATTGGGAAACCTACACGACAATAAACGTGTAGTGGTTGCGGAAGCGTTGAATGAAACAGCCACGGAGAGGACGCCAATTACGTCACGGCTCGGCTACCCGAAGGCCATCCGAGAGGCATTGTTTCGTAAACTCGCGCTCCGCGTACGTTTTTTGCTCTTTCGGAGTCATTTCCTCACCTTTCAAAGACTTCGTCTATAGCCTCGCAATCGCAGAGGCATGCCAACAAATGGGCGCGTTCTCCCAACTCGGACTCGTACTCGCAGCAGCAGAAGAGATCGTCATCTGGAGGACTCCGCCGGCCTGCCGACATTCCAGAAGGCGTGCATGCCGGTACGAGCCCGTGAAATCACGCGCTGCAGTCACGACTCGTCTAATGAATGGTTACTTTTCATGCACCCGGCTTTAGCTCAAACGGTGTGAGCGTGAGCCTTCCCAGTCAGGGACATGAAGACGACAGACACAACTGACACAACCGAACAAAAAAACAACAAAAACAAATGAACATGTGAATGGACACCAAATTGACGTGATGGCGGCAATGGAAGCAACCGTGTGGAACAAATGTCTCAAACCGAGAATTGGGTGGAAGATGGCGCCATCTGTTACAATCCAGTCGAAGATATTCTAGATTGGAGAGAGCAGAGTTCGTGTCAACGATGTCAGCTTGCGGTTGCGAAGAGTGGTCGCAAGCGTTCATACGCTATCAGGGGCTCCGGAACCGGGGGGGGGGGGGGCAGGGGGGGCGTCCGCCCTCCTCATGTTTTTTTCGTAGGGGTCATGCCCCCCCGACGCTGAAGGCTGAAGCCACAACCCTCCCTTGATGTAGTCAGAGCAACATGCTACCGCGCGTTCCAAGCTTGAAGCGGAATAAACGTCTCTTCAGAGCCAGCCTTGAGGCGCGCGTATTGGTCACATGTTAATCACTGGCAGCGGGACGGGGACAGGAAAGGCACCTTCTACCATTCCTTGTCATCGGAAAGGATGGAGGGGAGGAGGCCTCCCTCCGGCTCTGGATAAGCCTCCAACCTCTTGCCGCGGGAAATTGGTCTCTGGCAGAGCGCTTCGACTAACAGCAGTCCGGAGCATATGCCCTTGGAGGGACTGCACACTCTCTTTGACGAGTTTTGCTTGGGATCGGCTCTTTCAAGCTCGGCCATGCCAATACCGTGCCAATTAAGTGCACTGATCCCATAATGGCCGGAGAGGGTTCAGAGCTGGCCTAGCATGGGAGGCGCCCCTTGAAGTTTCTGCACGACGCCTAGACGCGAAAAGCATTTCTGCCATCCGTCAATCATTTTCATACTTTTGTTCGGTGTGACAGGAGACGTTCTTGCGTGCTAGAGATATTGAAGATCTCTTTTTGTTACTCAGAAAAGATTTCGGCTAAACAAAGGTCGCTTCCTCCATTTCGGTTTACCGCGCGTACGATCTTCAAAGTTGGGGCGGAGGGGGGGAATCTGCACTGCAAGATTGTGAGCCTTGACCCCCGCCCCCCCGATCAGAATTGACTTCCAGAGACCCTGTACGCTATATTTTCAAGCGGTGAGAAGAAAAGCAGGTGGAAAGGTGGAGACGTTTGCAGACAATCAACGCTTTTGTCCCTTTGCCATCACCTCGCAGCTAAACGAGAGCGCGCGGGGATGTCAGAACGCCGAGCTCCGACTGGAATGATTATACTGAAAATACTTCGTTTAAGATGTACCGCGGTGACCGTGATACACTTTACGAGCTACACGAGCCCTCTCCGTAGTTTCGCCTGGTTTCGCCTAGTTTCGCCCAACCAACCGGAAGGACACGTGACACCCTGCCCGTAGCATCCTCCGCGGTAGTGAAACAAAGTGGAGTTTCCGAGAAACGAGGACCGTGTTTTTCGGCCGGGTAAATAAATACACTATGCATCGCAGATAGCTCAAGCTTCGTGAGAATGTGACGTTGGCGGTTGGGATAAACGCGAAAGTTTTAGTACATGATGATGACGTTACGACGTTACCTTATAGCGAGTTCGTTTCACGGCACTCGTGCCTAGAGCACTATATAGCTCCTTCGGAGCAGAGTAGCGCAATCTAGAACGCCGCCTCTCGGCAACTAGTGGCGAACGCCCGGAGGTTCCAACTGCGGTCAGAAATGCATAGAAAACGTGAGAAAATCGTTGTTTCTTCAGTATTGTGGGGTTGTACGGAACGGCAATCGTTTTTGAAATAATAATGGTATATTTTAGAATAATTTGCGCTAAGTTTTGTGCCCCGCAAGGACGTGACTTTTTTTAAAAAATTGCCTGTGCGGCATCATGCAGCAGACGACACGGCGACGTCACACCATTCACGTGACCCGCTCCGGCCAACCCGAAAAGCCCATCTCCGCTACGAGCAAAAATCGTCTGCTTCAAACGCCATTGCCTTGGAAATTGCCTTCTCAAAATTTACGCACGCATCCGATATTATTAGAACTTTGATAAAGTGTTTAGTGCTTTACTAACTTCACGGCAGACTAGTTTTGAAAAGTGTGAACTTACCGTTCGTTTTTTAATCAGCCGTGTTGTGTTGATGATCTCCATGTATTCTCCCATAGGGCGGGCCGCCTCCTGGAACCCTGAGTACCACGTGACTCGCGCCGAGCCGCTCTGTCGGCCATGTTGTCGGCAAAACACGGGGTTCAAAGGATTGCGCTACTCTGCTCCGTAGGAGCTATATAGTGCTCTAATCGTGCCCACGCGTGCCCACTCGCAGCGTGGAACGGGTTCGTTTCGGCCGGCACTCCACGAGTGGTTGCACTCTCCGAGTTCGTTTCAGCGTGGTTTCAGCGCTGACACCCCACGCGTGCATGCACTCGCTGCACCGAGAAAATCGGGAGTGCGCCAAAATGCAATCCCGTCATGCCTCGCTCCGGTCGAGCCGGCGAGGAGCGGGAGCAGACGACGAGGGTTCGTCTGCTACGATGTGTCGCGGAACCGAACGGGAAAAAAAGTAGATTTTCTCATAGATATCGCGTCCCGCGGGCCATAAAATCAAACGCGAGCTTGAATTGTGAGCGTCTGCTATTTCCCGAAGGAAGCAATTGACAACCCGTGATTTATTTGCAGGTTTTAAATCGCTCTGTTGCCGCACAAACGCTGAAATATACCAGTGTGTAAAGAAATGCTCAGAACAAACGCAACAGCGGCCCCCGAGATGTCTATCACCATCCGTGTGCGGGTGAAAAATTTAACATTTGTCGACAAAACTCCCCCAGCAGAAACCTCTGACTGCCCAATGAGCATCAGAGAAAGCTAAAGATGGAGACTTTATCCGAGGATTGGGCAACATCATCATGTTTAACATTTACCTACGTCAGCTAACTTACCCCGTCGTATTTTGTTCGAGAAAGCTCTCATTCTCGACGCCCTCGCCAAGGCTAATATCTAATCCTGACGATCCAAATCGAAAGTCCCAGTTTTGCTGGATATTCCAACAGGATAGTCTTAAGCCGTACCCTTTCAGTGGTTCACGAATAATACCATGCTCAAACGGATCAAGCTTCTGCTCGGACAGCATCATCAGTTTTCTTCAGTGTAAACGGTTATAAGAATTGAAAGATCGCAACCAGCTGCAATTTGTAGACAGCTGGTTGCGGAAATTTACGCCGTCTGTAATTATCTCTACAGCAGCCTAGCTGCTTGAAGTCATTGCAACTATAAACTACAGGTTGCAGCGACCAACGTTTGTAAATAAACGTTGGTAGCCGACTGCATTCTCGCATTCCCACGCATCACTCCGAACAGAAAGGCGCTAGTTTCGGTTTGAAGTCGGTACCTTTTCTACAACATAGATGGCGGCAGCGTCAGTCTTCTGCACTCGGTGCATTTGGCGAGTTCGTTTGAGTCCAGTTTTCCGTGCAACACTCTGTGAGTGCGATGCATTCTGGGAGAGAACTCGAACGGTGCCAGTGCGTGTGAAACGAACTCGCTATTAACCAGAAGATAATTGAGAAAAACGAAATTTCTCTATGAGCCGTCATCTACCTAAGGTCCTAAGCCAACGTTACTAAAACACTCAGTTGGGAAACTGCCCCTTGAGACCCGAACTGCTCGCGCCCACCGAGACCAAACTATCAGAGCCTCTGAACTAATAGCGAGTTCGTTTCACGGCACTCGTGCCCACGCGTGCCCACTCGCAGCGTGGAACGGGTTCGTTTCGGCCGGCACTCCACGAGTGGTTGCACTTTCCGAGTTCGTTTCAGCGCTGACACCCCACGCGTGCATGCACTCGCTGCACCGAGAAAATCGGGAGTGCGCCAAAATGCAATCCCGTCATGCCTCGCTCCGGTGGGGCCGGTGAGGAGCGGGAGCAGACGACGAGGGTTCGTCTGCTACGATGTGTCGCGAAACCAAACGGTAAAAAAAAAAAAAAAAAAAAAAAAAAAAAAAAAGTAGATTTTCTGATAGAAATTGCGTCCCGCGGGCAACGAACTCAAACGCGAGCTTGAATTGTGAGCGTCTGCTATTTCACGAAGGAAGCAATTGACAACCCGTGATTTATTTGCAGGTTTTAAATCGCTCTGTTGCCGTACAAACGCTGAAATATACCAGTGTGTAAAGAAATGGTCAGAACAAACGCAACAGCGGCCACCGAGATGTCTATCACCATCCGTGTGCGGGTGAAAAATTTAACATTTGTTGACAAAACTCCCCCAGCAGAAACCTCTGACTATAAGCATCAGAGAAAGCTAAAGATGGAGACTTTACCCGAGGATTGGGCAAAATCATCATGTTTAACATTTACCTACGTCAGCTAACTTGCCCCGTCGTATTTTGTTCGAGAAAGCTCTCGTTCTCGCCGCCCTCACCAAGGCTAATATCTAATCCACCTATAATGACGATCTAAGTCGAAAGTCCCAGGTTTGCTGGATATTCCAACAGGCTAGTTTTAAGCCGTACCCTTTCAGTGGTTCACGCATAATACCATGCTCAAACGGATCAAGCTTCTGCTCCGACAGCATCATCAGTTTTCTTCAGTGTAAACGGTTATAAGAATTGAAAGATCGCAACCAGCTGCTTTGTAGACAGCTGGTTGCGGAAATTTACGCCGTCTGTAATTATCTCTACCGCAGCCTAGCTGCTTGAAGTCATCGCAGCTATAAACTACAGGTTGCAGCGACCAACGTTTGTAGATAAAAGTTGGTAGCCGACTGCATTCTCCCATCCTGACGCATCACTCCGAACAGAAAGGCGCTAGTTTCGCTTTGAAGTCGGTACCTTTTCTACAACATAGATGGCGGTAGCATCAGTCTTCTGCACTCGGTGCGTTTGGCGAGTTCGTTTGAGTCCAGTTTTCCGTGCAACACTCTGTGAGTGCGATGCATTCTGGGAGAGAACTCGAACGGTGCCAGTGCGTGTGAAACGAACTCGCTATAAATCTGAACTAAATACGATAACAGCGCCATCCTCTAGCGACTACAAAAAACATAAATGGCAATACCGGCAATACGAGATGGCGCCACCGGCCCTTGCACGACTCGACCTGAACCAACGTTAAAGACCGACCAACG